CTCATATCTCTTTATTTATACAGATCAAAGTAAATAAATTATTATCTAATCGAACTTCATTGAATATTTTAAATAAGTTAATATTCAATTCTTTTCCTATTTATCGAATGAAAAACAAAATAATAATACAATCAACAATATGAAATCATAACCAAAATATATCACTAAAAGAATATTAATTGTATATTTTTATTGCTCTGTCTTTGTATTATTATTAATTTTTAAATAGCTTACAATTAATACAAATAGTTATGTTTATTCATAACTTCATGTAATTATAAATTGTAGACATAACGGATGAGTCACTTAAGCAAGGAAGAAACTGCAACGTAAAATACAATTGTATGGCTTCCAAGTGGTATCAAACTTATGATAATCAATATACCATTGATTCACAGCACTATATTTTATTTAATAATTCAAACTCCTCAAATACATTACTTATCAATGGTCTCTCTCTTTATTACTCCATTACAGATACTAAACTTCTATCACATAAAACATCGTGTTATATGGACGAACAAGAATAAGAGGCTAAGGAAAAATCAATGACTGAAAAAGGAATGCAGATTTTATAATAGAGAAGAAGAACAATGTAATTACATTGAGAGAATATATAGAATGAAGGTTTACTATGTATGAGCGTAATGTAATCACATTGAAAGAATAAAGAGAACGAACAAATATTTAAGGACAATCGAGTATACGATAAGTATGTCCTTTATCTATTTATAAGTGATGAATAAGAATAAATCTTCAATATATCACTTATAAAAGATAAACAGATAGTATAAAACTTTCTTCATACTTATTGGCACAGAAACGTCGTAGAATGTTTACATCTTCTATCTGTATTGTTCTGATAAACAGATCTTCGATTAATTGTATTTTGCCAACGCAACCATTCTTTTTCTGGTTGTTTTGAATTTTCTTCATGAGATAAATCATGAATCATGATACTTCGTTATCAATATCCGGTAGTTATACTACGAGGACAAATATATATACATTCTATTCTACAGAATAGATAAAACGCCGATTACGTTTATTTCGCCAGCACACTCGTTTTTCTGTTGTTATTTTAAATTTCGTTAATGAAACGAATGCTGAATTATAATAACGCATCAACGATAATAGGTAATTATACGGTGAAGGCAAATATATATATGCACGCATCTCTATAGAAAAGATAAAACGTCGATTAGATTTATTTCGCCAACGTATACGTTTTTTTTCTTGTTCTTCTGAGTTTCGTTAATGAAACCAAAGCCACATTATAATATCGTCTCATCGTTAAAAGGTAATTATAATGCGAACGCACATAAGTATGCACTCTATTGTACAGAATAGGTAAAATTTCTATTAAAATTATTTCTAAAATCGACTCATTTTTTTAATTTTGAAGTGAAAATTATTATAGTTGATGCAAATGAGTATAATTTCGATGTTTTGCCTAATGCCATAGTCATTCAATAAAGTAAGTTCACCATCTGTTAGGCGACATTGAAGAGTTATGTATTTCGTTCAATAATAATAGAAGAATAATGGATTTAATACAACAAAAATACAAATAAAACAAACTTTCAATTTTACAATGCAAATAATTGATGTTGATGCAAACGTGTACGATCTTACTCTTTCGACTGATTTTAATAATCATTCACTGGAGTAAATGCACCATCTGTTACTAGAAATTGAAGAATTATGTGTTTGGTTTAATAATATCATTAATACAAGGAATTGAATACCAGAAAAATATAAATAAACGAAATTTTAATGTTACAGTGAATACTATTGATGTTGAGGTCAATGCGTGCAATTTCAATGTTTTGACTGATTTTCATAGTCATCAACTGGAGTAAGTTCACCATCTCAGAGTGGAAATTGAAGAATTATATATTTTGTTTGCTAGGAATGAAAATATAATGAATTTAGTTCGACAAAAATACAAATAAAATGAAATTTTAATTTTACAGTGATAACCATACTTTTATTTATTGATTTTTTGTAATGAATGAATTCGTTGATTTTTATGATAGAAACTTCATGAATTATAAGCTGAATTATGTGAATATGGCCCATATTTTGAAGCAACTTTTCTACTTTCAAATAATCCAGAGGGTTTCGATACATATTTATCGATGAATATTGTACGTCCTGTTGTTCGTACTAATCTTTCATTCACTCAATTTATGCAAGCTGATACAACTGATGTAAGAAAATTACATTTGATTTATTTTGAAAAAAAAATGGATTTAACATTGAAGTTTGAAAGAAAGTTGGTAAGATTTCTAATTTAGTTTAGTTTCGTTTAGAATATTTTGATATATCCGTACATTCATAATTTATAAGTCTCTGAATTTATTTAGAAAAAAATCTTTTTTTCTTTAGTTAATTTTCAAGTTAGGAGTAAAAAATAAATAAAATACATTATTATTTAATTTGATCAAAATTTATAGAATTTTATGAATTATTTTGAAAAAAAATCAAAATAAATATATTACTTTCATTAAGACTAAAATAATTTTAGTTCTAATAGAAATAAAAATATAATAATCTTATTGAAATTATTGACAATGAAAATAATGAAGATTTGATTAAGGTTGAATAGTATATTCATAATTAATCTAATAGCATTTTATTTTTAAATAATATGTAATTTTTGAATTAAGCTACTTCAGAAGTATTAGAAAGATTTTATTATAAAAAAAATATCAAATAAGTATTATGAATCGATATAATCATTGTAATCATGGCCCTTTTCTCATAGAATATGTCGAGTATAGGTATAACCATGAACGCGACTAAAAACGCACGTTAAAAAAAAACCTTACATATTAAGGCGCTCATATACTAGTGGCGTATCCAAGGCCTGGCATGGCCTGGCACTGCCAGGCCACCGGTACTTTTTGCCAGGCCACCGAGAAAAATTTTACTAGGTATTTTATTTTTTTTTAAACTGTCGATGAAGTTACATAAGACTATATCTCTGATAATGAGTGATATCTGAAGAATACTATAAATAATTGAACAAGTCAATAGGCAAGGGCGTAAACGCTCAACATTTCAAGTTTTAAAAGGAGGAAGGCGCAGCACCCTTTTTGCTTAAATCTAACGCAAAAAACCGTGTAAAAACCTTTTTTTTAATTTTATAGATCAAAGAAAAACTAAAAGTTTCCCAAAGCAAAGAGGCGTAGTGTCCCATGCGTCGACCTCACTCAGTAGACCCTTTGTTTCTCGTTAAATTAATCTTTTTTTAAAACACAGAAAGATCACAGATTGATTTTGAATCATCAGAAAATTATCAAGTGATATGCAGGGCTGTCGCAATATTAAAGATTGGGGGATGTCGAAAAATTTCGACAATACTTCAGAAACTTCTGCAAACTACCAAAATTTTTAAAAAAATTAGAGATTTTTTGAAAATTTCTGAAGATTTTTGTGAGTTTTTAACGATTTTTCGAACACTTTTGCAAACTTTTTATAAATTGTCAGAATTCTTTCGAAGAATTTCGGAAATTTTCAAAGACTTTCTCCGAATTCGTCCAGAATTTTTGAAAACTTCGTAATAATTTTTAAAAAATGATGAGCAAAAAAAACAAAATTTCCAAAGATTGGGATGAATACCGCCCCCACCCCCCTCCGATCGCGACACCCCTAAGGATATGGTAGGTTTTAGAAATTTTGTAAGGCATTGCCAGGCCACCGATCAAATCCTGGCTACGCCACTATCATATACGTACATGTATATATATAAGAGGTATCTCATATTAAATAACCTACTTCTCTATCTTATTTTTCTATCATCTAATATCTTGTATGAAAAAATCAAAAACTCTACAATTTACAAAGTAAAATTCTATAACGAAAAGTGATAGTACACAATTTTTCTATGTTTAAAAACAAAACTTATACAATAGACAATCGTTCTATTCAAATTGAATGCAAAATAGATTATTTCAATAAATAGATAATTTACTTCATAAGTTCTTATTGCTTAATTATAGTTCAGTTTATATATATTTATTACCAACACACAAGTGAATACCTTTCAAGTTTAGAGAAAATATTTATCAGTAGGCATCTATTTAACATAATTGTTTATGAATTATTGAATACAAATTACATATGTAGTAATTCTGTTGGTCAAGTTAAGTGTGCTCCAAATTTGGAGTTTACGGATATTTAAGTTTTCGCAAAAAACTCTACCTAAAAACTGTAATCATCTGTTTTTGATTGTTCAAATAGATACTCTGAACTGTACTGAGTCGACTGGTGATGCTCAAGAAAGAAAAGTACATAGTTACAAGCTACAATTTGTCGAAAAACTTGAAACTCGTAAACTTCAAATTTGGAGTTCACTTAACTTGACCAATTCTGTTCTATTAGCCTTTCTTATAACATGAAAAATATAAATCACATTAGAAATTCATGTATAAATTAAATATATATATATATATATATATATATATTTGAATATTGTTTCGAACTAAAAATAAAATTAATCTTAGATTTTATTTTAGATAAAAATATTTATTTTATATATAAAAATCTATTATATTAATTTTTCTTAATTTATCACAACAAACAGGTTTATTAATTAATTTATATTATGCAGATTCTGATCCAATACAACTTACAAATGCTCATTAAATATTTAATACACATATAAATAATCAAACAATTGATTTATATGGTAGTAAAACACTCGAAAAAATCCCATTTGAATCATTTAATATTATATTTTCTTCCAATCGATTTCAAAGAAATCAAGATTTAATAAATTGTTTAATTGATCCTCGTCGTTTACTTGTTCCTAATGTTCTTCTTTTATTACTTGAATTAGTTCATATTCCACTTTATTTTGATCGTATTTTTGGTTTTATTGATCAATGGTAGTCAACTGATAATGTTAATAATAATAATCGTGCATTAAATAATATTCAACAATAAACAAGATTATTAAAACAAATTCAAGGATTTAATATTATTGAATTAATATGAAATTACGTTTGTTATTTGGCAAAAAACAATATCTAACGAAGTATTACAAAGACTTGATGAACGAATAAATCAAATATGGTTAATATTTACTAAAGATGATCAAAATAATAAAAATATTTCATATTCATAATTCAACTTTAGATATTATTTGTTCTGCAATACCAGTTTTATTAACAACTTATAAATAAATATCAATTATCTTTGTATGGCAAATTGATCAAATATCATTGAATGAAAATAATGATGATTTAGCATTTAAACAAAATGAAGAACTTATATATGGAATATTATCACGTATTCTTCAAATAATTCAAAAATCATCACCACATTTTCATCCATTTGTATATGTTCTTACAGATCATGCTCAATTTAATAATGATTCAAATCTTAAGATAATTCCATCACCATTTATTGGTCTTGAACGAAGTTTAATAACTGAATATGAATGAAATCGATTAAAACTTATTGATCTTCAAACATCATTAAATAATAATAATCAATCAACATTTATTCATACTTTAGTAGAATATATGATTAATTCAAGATATTCAACTGATACTTGTCAAGTTGTTCTTCGTCTTAATCATACAAATCGAAATCAAGTGTAACATTTAATATGGCATTATAAAATGTTACAAAATAATAATGAACAAGAGAAATCTAAATACGAACAAATTTCTATCATTCCTAAAGGAGATGTTGATCAAAAACCATTTCGACTTTGTGTACCACAATCTGTTTTCTTTCTCAATTAACATGGATTGAAGAAGATAGAGAAAAAGAATTATTACCATCAGATATCGTAGAAGTTCGTGTTCATTGTGTTGGTATTAATTTTCGTGATGTACTCAAATCACGTGGTCTTTATGCATATACACGTACTTTTGCACAACCTAATGATGAACAACCAAAAATTAATCAAGATACAGAACTTGGATCAGATTTTGTTAGTACTATTGTACGAGTAGATCCTACAACAACTACTTCTTAAGTTGGAGATCATGTCGTTGATGTTACTGGTGATAGTACATGTTATTCTCATATTATGATTAATTCACAACTTATAATACGTATTCCATCTGATTTTCCTCTAACTGATGAACAATTCTGTGGTCTACCATGTTCAATTTTAACAGTTATATATTCTCTTAAATATCGTGTTCGGCGCATTTGATTTATTTGTTCAACGTAAATTATGTGCTGTTGAACCAACAGTTACTTAAAAACCATCTCAAGTAATAAAAGCATTATTAAGATATAATAGTGGTCAAGTTATGGGTAAAACTGTTTTTCGTATAACTTCATCTGATTAACCATCAAATATCAAAAAAAATCAATCGAATAATTTATTAGAAGGTAATCATATTTATATTTTTTTTTTCTTTTTTCTTTTTTCTTTTTTCTTTTTTGACTATTGATACGCATTACAATGTATGAAAAAGAACGTAGTTCGAACGCATCGAAATATTTATTCATACTCGAAAGAAAAGAAAAAAAAGATATTCGTTAATATTTTTCATCTTTTCTCATAATTTTGCGGGTGGGTGTGGATGTATATCTCTTCTTCTTTTCCGTTCACATCTACATCCACCATCGATCCTAATAACGCTGACCGATACTTCTTTGTGTTATATAGTTATATGTGATCAACTAGTATAGGAAAGAGATAAAGTAAAAGAATAGAAATAAAAACACTTCGTTAGTCTTACTACTGGGCCCAAACTCAAATTCAAACCTAAACTGCCAACCCGTTGGGGTTTGAATTTGAGTTTAGTGCATGTCTATCCAAAGCTACACCTTCACCTACTCTTTTATATGAATCCACTGTGTAGTAATAGGATATATTTATCATCTATATGTGTATTTGTTTTTCTTTTCTTAATTTTTGTCGTCTCTTTTAATAATTTCAATAGGAATAAACGAAATGAATTTAACAAATATTCATTTAAGTAAATGTTTCAAATAATAATCGTCGTTATTTAAACATAGAATTGTATTCGTTCAATTGATTTATCAAAATATTTTCTATATTTCTCTTGTTTATTTAAGAAAATAGATGACATTGAATATAAGGTTCATCTAGAGGGATTATATCAATAGAAATATTTGATCTACCACTATCGTCATGGATTTTAATGTCACAAACTTAATATGAAGATTTTTAGTGTTTGATTTATTCGACAAGAGATAGTAAACAATTGTTGATAGTTAATCGTTTGAAGACGCGTGTATATTGTCTTTATTGTCTATTTGACATTCCTATTAAAAGAAAACTGTTATTTTCTCACGAGTTTTTCGATATTTCGGTATAAAACTAAATAGAACGAGCACAAATCAATGATAAGAATGATCAATATATTTGACAGAAGTTTGAAGAATATTTTCAAATAAAAGAAAAGCTCAATAAAAATATTAAATCTTAGATGAAGAGTTTTTTCTATTATTCTTCTTCGATATTCACATTTAAACAGAATTCCTATTGATAACAATACTGAAAATGTGAAAATATTTATTAGTTCTTTTTATCTAGTTATTTGTGAATAGATTTATCAAGGATAAGAAAAATAACGACTAATAAAGAACGTAAGAAAAAAAAATATTTCGTTACAAATATCGTTATTTGGACAACGAAGAAAAGTATGAGAGATACAATTAACTATCGACGAAGAAATGAAGAACATGAAAATGAATACAAATGTAGCAGATGTTGAATATTTCTCTATAGTTTTTAGGTAAGATTTTCATCCAAAAGAATCAATTTATATTCTTTTCTTTTAACATAAAATAATTTCTTTGAAATTTTGTACATAGACTAAAGAAAATAATATTACTAGGAAAGCTAAATGAATTGAATAATTATTCTACAATAAGAAAACATTTTTATGTAACAACTCCCAGTTAAAAATCTCTATCTAAATCTATATATGGATGAATTACAATATTCTTATATTGTTTTATGAAAAACTTTTCATCTCATTGTTAATATCATTGTACAATATTGTATTAAAGAAAAATATGTTTCATTTTTTCTGATTATTACTCTTGAATTATCTAACATATGACATATTTTTTTAAGAATCCAGTTTAAAAATTTGAGATTAAACTATATTGATTAGTACACAACACATCTAATGCTGAATTTTTTCACCTGATTTTTAATCTAAATCTATAATTTTGTTTGTGTAATAAGAGATTTCTTCGTCAATTGCAATTGACATTAGTTGTAAGAAAGCTATTCCATGTGCTCAAAATCAGTAATTAATCGCCAACGATTTTCTTCCTCATTTTTAACGATAAATTATGAGATTATTTACACGTGAACTTTAATTTTACTGTTAAATTTAGAAGATCTTATTACTTATTTAATTAGTGGATCAATGTTTCTATTATAAAATTGAATATTCACATTAATTTGTACATAGAAATTATGTAATAAAATAGATAAATAAGAACTCTATATGCAATTTGATATAGTGAGGAAAAAATAAATTTGAAAAAAACATCAGTGAGAGACGGAGTTATATATTAATATAGAATCATCTAAAATAAACTACGCGTTGTTCCAAAGAAACGTTTTGAAACGAATGATTGTAATGACGAGACTTATAGTACGTTCATTTTTTTTTAAAAATTATTCGATGTCATTTATGTCATAGTAGTCACATTCATAACAAAACTAATCTTTTTTTTTGCTTCAAATGTTTGTGATTCTATTTCACTCTTTAATTTATAAATTCTTAAATAATAAATTTGTAGTTTATAATTGATTACTAAATCGATGATTAAACATGATTTTCATGACATAAGAATGTGACTTTGAAACTTGTCGGAGATTTTAATAGGATTTATTTTCTAATAGTGATAGTATGAACAATAGTTGAATAGAATGAATAATGTTTCAAGTCAATCTGTAATATCTTAAGAGAATTAGAAATTTAAAAAAATCTTGCGTAATATCTCGTGTAACACTACATGTAATAATTTTTTTATTTATTTTATTTAAGTGAAAACTCGAATAATTTTTTCATTGTCTTTTATCACTTGTATCATTATATATCGAAGTTACTTTTTATTTAATAGAATAGGAGCTGAAGGATTGACGGTAAATATAATCTATGAGCAAACAATTAATTCGGATTATTTTCTTCAAATATATATTAAAAATAAATAATCATTTTTTTTTAATTTGATTTCTATACAATATAAAAAGAGCGACATATGTGCGAGACAAAATCAATATTAATTTTATTTTGAAAGAAAAAAAGATTCTAAAAATGAATCGCTCGAAATGAAAAAGATGGATTTGATACTAAACTAGATCTTTTCAAATCCATTATACTATCATTTATCTTTACTCACACTTGTTTTTTATTATAAAACTTAGATAAAGAAGCGTTCAGAGTAAAAATACGAAATAAATAACCATCATTAACTCTTTTTATTTTGATGTTCATTTAACAGTTATTAGAATATAAGGCTAAGATTTCTTTGCTGTATCATCTATTAAATTAGTTTCATGTCAAAAAATAACTCACACTTATTATTTTATCTTTCTCGAAGTTAAAAAATCTTTAACTATGTTATATAATTGCTGATCATTTATAATAGATCGCTGAATTTCAGATGATTCTGATGATAAAAAAAATGATGTCGAGGGAGAAATCATCGGGAATCGAAATAATTAAAAAATCTAAGACAATTGATTCTATATCGAAAAATAAATGAACAAAGATTTTGATTGTATTTCAAAGTTGAATTGATTTTTCTTCCATAAATAAAATCGATAAAAAAAGAATTATTTTTCTCTTTTCTTTACATGACTTATCTATCCGTCTTGTTTCATTGGTTTTCTTAACCACATGTGATTTTTAGTAAGAGCAATGAACGATAATATTAAAGAATAAACGTAAAGAAGAGTGACCTTATAGATGGTTGTTTGACAGAACAAGAAAAAACGATAATTATAAGCGTTAGAAATATTTTTTTGTCGCTATACGAACAAAATAACAAAACGCAACCACGTGAAAAAAGAGGTGTCTCATAGAATATTTTCAAATATCTAAATAAAACGACTTTTACGTAACGAATCGTGTTCTAATCTTATCTTAAGATTTTGATTAACAACTGTAAAGAATGAAATATTTATAGTTTGATATTTGAGCAACGAAGAAAAAAATTGACTCTATTCTTATAAAAAGAAAACGTTTCACTTCAAATTGATATTAATAGAAAATAAGATAAAGAAAAATTTGATTATTTTAATTTTATCTTATATCTTCAATAACTATTTAAACATTTCGAGAGACTCAAATGCTTTTTGTTTGACATTTTTATATTTGGAGATTTTTGGAATAAAATACTTAAATTATTCTCATTTAAAAAGTCTAAATAGTGACTTTTAAGATGATCGAATTGGAGAACATTTTCTATATGATATTAAACTATTACTTGAAATGAATTGAAATTACGTAGTCGAATATGGAGCCAACTTCACCTACGCGATCTTATTATTATTGCTCTTTATCAGATATATATTCGATTTTTTTTATTAACCCTTCGTGGATGTTCTCATTTTTTAACTTCGTGGTTGTTTCGGGGTCCATCTGGACCCGCTCATAAAAAAACGAAGTTTTAGCTCCATGAAAGCTTTTCATTTGTATATTATAAACATATAGATGCCTCAGTCTTATTAGGATATGAATGCGTTTGTGCTAAGCACTGTAAGAGGGCTCCGTAGTACGAATAAGGGTTTAGCAGAACCTTTTGAAAATGATATTGATATAAGCTGAGAGTGACAGATATCACACTCTTTTTACTAAATATGAGTCATTATTATAAGTAGCGAAGATAAAAATCAATCGAAACATATCGTTAGAAAGGAAACAACACTGCGTGAGAACAAATATCACCAATATAACCATATAAAATAACATTACAGCACCATAGTTGTTATGGGGTCCACAAGGACCCGTAGCTGTATTTTTTCTCCGTTGGACCTACTCATGATTTGTCATATGGGTAGTGTGTACCAACAAAAGACTAGAGATTAGATGTGAGAATCGATCGGAAACAGAAACTCTTAAGAGAGAATTTGGTAAAAAGCTGCGAAGTGGGTCCTCTTGGACCCCACAACATCAACCGAGGGTTAATAGAGAACATTTTCTCGATATATAGAGTGATAGAAGGAAAATTTTAATATTCTCTTTCTTGTAGAGAAGAGTCTTATAAACATAAATTATCTGCTTACTTGTGTCGGTATTATCTAGGTCTGATAATTGCTGACTTTCCAAATTTATTTACAATTGGTGGCCCCGGTGCTCCATCTGATTGAGCTAATATGGTTCCACATATCGAACAGCATTTTAAATGGATAACAAAATGTTTGGAATATCTACGAACACATGATATCAATATAATAGAACCTTCTCTAGAGGCAGAGAATACCTGGGTTAATCATGTAAATGATGTTGTCGAAAATACTCTTTTTCGAACATCCAAGTCAATCTACAACGGACCAAATATTTCCGAAAAACCACGAGCCTTTAAACCTTATGTAGAAGGCTTTGATATTGATATGAAAAAGTGCGAAAAAATTGCCAACAATAACTATGAAGGTTTTCATCTGGTGAAGTAACTACGATCATTACAGCATGGGTGATGCAGAACATTCACATTAGTTTTACTTTAAATGTAATTTCGTGGCGGAATATCGTACAGTTCTGATTTCTTTGTTTGATTCGATACGAGTGTTGACGAGACCAATTATATTTGCTTCATTCTTTTCAGATAATTCGATTTCTCATAGTACTTGTTTATTAGGGTTCTGCTACTTAACAAATTCCAAAGCAAAATGTCGACAATGATGGAAATGTCTCTATTACAAAAAATTCAAGAGGAAGAAATGATGCCTTCGCCAGCATCATCAGCTATTCCTGCTGCTGGGTGTTCGCAAGGTGCCGCATCTTTCGCACAAGAACGGATATGGCTCGATGAAAAGATCCATCACGACCCATCAATATCACCTGCCATGTATAACTTTGTTCTACCTTTGATAATTAAGCATGGGTCAATGTCAATCGATCGCATTCATTTGGCCATTGTTGCTGTTCTTGAACAGCATGAAATACTTCGAACTGCAATTTACTTCGATAAAAATCGTAACATGTTGGTCCAAGCGGTGCAGCCTGTGGTCAACAATGTTGCTTATTCCTTTGAAATAACAGCAAACGATATACAGAGTCCCGATGAAATTGCTGATCTACTTAGGAATGAATCGATCAAGCATTTTGCTGAGTTAGAACAGGGTTTAGTTGTTCGTTGTCATCTAGTTAAGGTGGGCTCTGACGATGACACGAACAAATTATATCCTCAAGATTTGATTATTTTCATATTTCATGGTATAGCATTCGATTATAATTCTATTAATCCGTTCCTTGTTGCCTTTACAAAAGCATACAATCAGATGGAATTGGATGTTGAAAGGTTACAATATATCAGTTTCAGTCTATATGAGCATCAACAATTCATTAATATCGCCGAAGACTCTCAAATACGAAGAGCTCAGCAGTTTTGGTCAAAAATGATGGGTGACTACAGCCTTGATACAAACTATCCAACACCATTTACGTATCCATTCGACACAAAAAAGCGTTCGGGAGAAGGGCATAGTATATCATTTATATTGAACTCGATATTTGTCGAAGCTCAGATGAAATTTGCATCTCTGCATAACTTGTCTATGTTTCATACAGCATTAGCGTGCTTCTTTCTATTTATATATGAACTCAATGATGGTACTATTAGTGACTTGTGTGTAACCTGTCCTACAAATAATCGATCATCTGTTGATACAAAATGCATGATTGGCACCTTTGCGAATTTATTACCATATCGCATCAAAATTAATGCAAATGACAGTTTTATTAACTTAGTGCAGCAAATTTGCCAACTGGACATAGACATTTTTAATCACTGTCAACTACCTTATCAACAGATCATCAGGGATAATAAGCAGTTATGTTCAAGCAAGATTCCATTACATTTTCAATATGAAGAAATTTACTCTTCTTCAACTAGCGAAATGAAATCGATAGTCAAGACAAATGATGCGGCATTAAGTTTATATACTGAACAACCTTGGCTTCATGGTAATGGTATTGCTTCTCATGATATGAATTTAAAAATGATTCATAATCAGTCCAGCCAAACGACTTATTGTATTTTTGAATGTAGCGCTGATTGTTATGATGAAGTGACGGTGTCCAACATTGGTCGATATTTTCATAATCTACTTTCACATATCTTCACTGAAAATACGAAAACCATTGGATTCGACCCAGCTTTGGAAAAAATTGGCAATCTTTCTCTTTTACCAATGAACGTTGAAACTTTATTAAACATCAACGAATCACTACGACATTTCTCAGAAATAAGTAAGTGCTTCGACGAAAGCTCGTTTCTAACTCCTCTTTACATATCTGCATGAATTAAAACTCGTACATAATGAGTAATTTGTAGAAATAGTTTAAACTCCTTAGAGCATAAAAATGTATAACGTCGGCTATTTCCGAGAGATTCGAGTATTTAGCTATGAAAATAAACCTAATAGATATGTAAGAATAATATGTGACTATCATAGAACCAGCTTCATATACTCAACACCAAATATGGCATGATGAAGAACGTCGTTTGCATTTGGGTGGACTACAATTGGCAACACATAATATGGTATTCTGCTATCGTCTTTCAGCTGATCGTACCTTGTCTGTTCAGCAGCTTCGTCACGCACTCCATCTTGTTGTTGACAAACACCAATCTCTGAGAACGTCATTTATTTTTGATACTACAAAAAACATTCTCACACAACGAATTGTTGACCAACAGAATCATAACAACAATCGGTTTTCTATAGTCGAAAGTATTTATGAAACAGATGAACAATTAGATGAAATTATCCACAATGAGACACATAATCCTCATGTTTTCGATCTGACTCAAGGTCTTGTCTTCCGATGGCATCTTGTCCGTTATAAACAAGTTTCTACTACTGATCTTATCTCCGATAGCGATATTCTCATCTTCAACTTCCATCACGTGTCGTTCGACTGTCCATCGATTAAGATATTTCTCCATGATCTTCATCAAGCATACACCACAAGTCAGCTACTCAATGATGACAGCACTAATGGACTTCGCTATCTCAACTGTAAATATTCATACTTCTCTCTTCATAATCATATAATGTATTTCTCTCTTCTTTAGATGCTGTCATTGAACACCACATGCCCATGATTGGTGCAAGCATGTTCTGGCATGATGCTCTGCATGATTGCAAACTAGATCAATCTCTCCCATTGCCATATGCTCGATATCGACATACGAATGAATATCGATCTGGTTTTGGAACATCTATTTCATTCGATTTAGATCGAGATCTTTGTGACACTTTCCTTCACTACACATCTTCGCAAAACATCTCACTTGAACATCTGGCGTTGTCTATGTATTTTGTCTTTCTATTTAAACTAACGAATGGAGAAACAGATCTATGCATTGGACTAAACGTAGATGGTCGATACAGAGATGAACTAAGATCAGTGATTGGTATGTTTGCCAATTATATTCCACTGAGATGTCAACTAGATCCACAATGGTTCATACATAAACTTGTTAAGCATGTTGAAGAAATACTAACGAACAGTCGGAAGTACTCTTATTTCCCTATTCAACGTGTCCTAGATCAACATCCACGTGCTTCGAAATCTGCATTTCTTGATACATCATTCGAGTACATTCAATATTCACCACAAGATCATGGCAATGACATGATTATAGGTGACAGTCATCTCTCTGTGATGCCTATTTCGAACAAGACTAGTGAAGATGACATCATGAACAAGTTTGACTTCATTCTTAGTATTCGGCATGATATCGATCTGAATCAACTGTCATGCACAATCAATGTATCACTTGACTTGTTCAATCGAGAGACAGCGGAGAACATTTCACAACGATTTCATTCCATTCTACACCAATTATCTACATCTATTATCGATAGTCAAATAAACAAACCGATCTATGAATTATCATTAACATTATCAAATGAACAATATCTAATGCAATCATTAAATAATACACAAATATCATTTTCATCTTCTCCTTTCATTTGCATTCATCATGAGTTTGTGTATCAAGTAATGAAACATCCACAAAAACTAGCTGTTGAACTAGATGAACAATCTCTAACATATTGTGAACTTCTATATTATGTTCAAGTAGTATCTTTAACTCTTCTTAATGAATATCATGTTTTTCCAGGTGAGATCGTATGCCAGTGTGTTGAGCGAAGTTTGACAATGGTAAGTTGATTAAGATGAATAACAATTAATGTGAGTTTGAGATTGATTTGGATTAGGTGATTGGTATGATGGGAATTGAAATGGCCGGTGGTGTTTATTGTCCATTATCACCTCGAGATCCACAACATCGTTTACATGCACTCACACAACAAACACGAAGTCGTCTTGTTCTTGTTCATCATCTAACTAAGACCAAATTCAACCATGATATTGCGTTACTTGGTATCGATTCAATTTTGACTAATACAGAGACACACAGTAGAATTCATGTGAATCGACTCTCAGATGTCGCAGTAATACCGGATAATATGGCGTACATCATCTTCACAAGTGGATCAACAGGAATGCCGAAACCGGTTAGTAAAAACATGATTTTTGTAATTTCATACTATATATAAGTGTCGGTGTTTAAAGACTCAACTTCGCCATAGAAATTTTACTCGATCAATACAATCTTTAGTACATGTTGATATATTTAACAAAAACGATATCATTGTACAAATGGCACGATGTTCGTTTGACCTTCATGTACAGGAAATCTTAGGAACGTTAATCATAGGAACCACAGTAATCATGTTACATCCACAGGGAAACTATGATTTCGAATATCTTTCCATACTTATGGAAAAGAAACAAGTTACTTTTCTTTATACTGTACCGACATTACTGCAACTCTTTTTTAAATTTATCAAAGAAACTAAAAAAGCATATGTTATGCAATATTTGCGATCTCTCTGCACTGGAGGTAGATATACAAATACGATTCTCCCAACTTTGGTCGACAGTAAAAATGTCGAAGTCTAAAAAGATCGAACGAAAAATGTCGAAAATAAAATGTCGAAGTATAAAGATGTCGAAATATAAAAATATCGAAGTAAAAAATGCCGAAGTATAAAAATGTCGAAGTGAAAAATGTCGAAGTATAACAATATCGAAGGATAAAAATATCGAAGAAAAAAAGTCGAAATATGAAAATGATAAGATTTTGGGTGTTCGAAACAACTTAGTGGTAAAAATTAAGAAAGACGTTTGAGAGTGGGTGTGAGTATCAGTGCAAATATAAACATTCATCTGTATTTAGCCATACCCACATCCATACAGTCCCCCACACCCACACCCTCACCCTCACCCACACCCTCACCCACACCCACACCCTCACCCTCACCCTCACCCACACCCTCACCCTCACCCTCACCCACACCCTCACCCTCACCTTCACCCTCACCCACACCCATATCCACACCCATCCTTCGACATTTTTATATTTCGACTAATTTCAAATTCGACATTTCTACCCTTCGATATTTTAATATTTCGACTATTTTCAATTCGATATTCTTACATTCGACATTTGTCTAATTTTTTTTCGACATTTTTACCTTTCGATCTTTATATACTTCGACATTTTAGTTTTTCGACCAAAGTTGGGATTACCACAAATACTTACTTACACCATTACCTTCAACTATTGTTTTTCTTCTTCTTGTTCTTAGGTGAACGTTGCTCTGTACAACTTGTTGAGTTATTAGAAAGTATTATAAATAGCGACTGTTCTATATGGAATTTATGTGGGCCAGCGGAGACAACTCTTCAGTCTTTATTTCATCGAGTGAACTCACAAATAGACGCAGTGACTATTCCACTTGGTAGACCACTACCTAATTATTCCTGTATGATCGAAGATGATTTTGGACAGTGTCTCATTGTTGGCAAAGAAGGAGAGATCCTATTGAGAGGAATTGGCATCTTTGCAGGTTATCTTGGACGTGATGATTTAACCGCAAGAGCTTTTGTTGAGATAGATGGTGAAATATTCTATCGAACAGGTGATCTTGTTAGAATGGATAACAATGGTCTTCTGCATTATCTAGGAAGAAAAGATCATCAAATCAAGCTTCATGGACAACGTATTGAACTTGGTGAAATCGAACGATGTTTACTTAGCATTACATCTATCTCTGCTTGTGTTGTCATGAAATGGAAAGATGATTACTTAGTTGCTTATGTTCAATCTTCTCAAATCAATGAAGGACAACTACGTCAACATTGTCAGTCTCATCTCCCTCCACATATGATTCCATCTTTTTTTATTATTCTTGATAAACTACCTTTGAATCAAAATGGAAAAATAGATCGAAAACTTCTTCCATCACCTCACTATCCATCGTTAACTATGCCATCGGTAAATGAACTTGATACACCAGTCGATCAAGCAGAAAAAAGTGTGTATGATATTTGGTGCCAAGTGCTGGAATACAATAGCCGACATATATCAACAACTACGAACTTCTTTACTACTGGAGGTCATTCTCGTTTGTTTATTGAGCTTTATCATCGCTATCAAACTATCTTTGCTTTCGATAGTCGTATATTATCTATTAGTCCGTTTCTTGAACAACCAACTATTCAACAGCATGCAAAATTATTAAAGACAGTCACAACCGATGATATTCGAAGAGAACAATGGTATACTCTGCACATTAATCGAAGTAAAAATCTCTAATATTGACTATTAAAATAAACTAAAATGTTTTGTTATTGTGTTTTCAGGTATGGCATCATTTGCTCAAGAACGTATATTTCTGGATGAACAAATTCGATTCTCTAATAAACATATTTTCTATAATAATTTTGTTGCACTACGGGTTACTGAAGGCATCTTATCAATAAATCGAGTACTACAAGCGCTCCAATTGGTTTTGACGAAACATGAAATATTGCGTACTTCACTCGTGTTTAATAATGATGATAGTACACTACAGCAATATGTCACTGACAATCACAAGACATTTACATTTCTTGATCAGCAAACTTTCGAGAATGACAATGAACTTCAAAATATTATTTATCAAACGGTTACCAATCCTGATCTGTTTGATTTGTCCAGTGGTCGAGTTTTTAGTTGTCAGGTACTTCAACAGCAGAAGACTACGCATGAGACTGTTCACACAGACTTTCTTGAAAAGTCTGATATTCTTGTATTATATTTCCATCATGCAGCAGTTGATGGAACTTCTATACCAATCCTGTTGAATGATTTCTGTAATGCTTATAGTAATAACATGACAGTTTCACTTGATGAACAATCAGTGCAATATATTGATTATACTGTTCATGAACGGCTTATGGATATGACAACATCTCGTAGCTTCTGGTATTCTCAACTAGACAGATTTAATCTCCAACGTGCATTAAAGCTACCAGTTGATAGACAGCGCTCGCCAGCTGTTCAACGATCTAGTTTGCCGTCAATAGCTCAAATCTCTTTTGATAAGGAGCTGTCGATGATGTTTCTCAATTATGCTTCCTTGCATCAAATTACACCTTTTCAGCTTGGTTTGACTGCATTTTACGTGTTTCTATTCAAATTAACTCATGGAGAAACTGATTTATGCATTGCATCTATTAATGCTAATCGATATCGAAGTGAATTAGAAAATATGATCGGCATGTTTGTTTCAACGTTACCATATTGTGTACAACTCAATTCTCATTGGTCATTTGATGAACTTGTGAAACATGTTCGAGAAAAGTGCTTATCAATTCTTGAACATTCTCATTATCCACTTCAGCATATACTTACTGATTTTCGACTTAATCAATTGGATGTTCCATTTCTTGAGATTCTATTTAATTTCTTACCGGTGTCTACAAATATTGATCGATATTCTATAGGTGTTGCACGCCTAGAGCAAGTATCAATCAAACAAGCAGATGAGATTTCTCAGTTTGACTTCTCAACAACATTCCTATACGATTTGACATCAGATGATCATAAACTTTCCTGTCTATTCTCTTGCTCAAATGATTTATTTGACAACACTACTGTTAAAACAATAGCGCAACGATTTCAGCATCTCCTGTCACAAATATTTCTGATAAACTCAAATGACACGGAAAAAGACCTATCTACTAAGTCTATCAAAAATTTGTCTTTGATATTGCCTGAAGAAGAGAACGAAATATATGCATTAACATTAAGTCGAGTGACAAGCGTTGCTACAGAAGGTATTGCTATTCCTTTTTCATACGAAAAGATTCTTTAGTTATAAAAGAACACCATATGAGAAAACCATCCTGAGAGTAAGTGGGTGTGGGTCTAATTGTGGCAGTAAGTGAGAGTGTATGATTAATACAACACCCACACCCTCAACATTAATACTACGACAATACCTTTAATACAGATTCTGTTTAGTTAGAGAGATGATTAAAAGAAAAGACGCTAGAATATTGTTATCAAACATTATTTGACCATCCAATTTATACATTATAAACCACGACGCGCACATTATTCTAGCACCAGCATCATTTGCACAAGCCCGTATATGCCTTGATGAAAGAATTCGATTCAATCCAAACAACCCTCAAACAGCAATCTTTAATATGCCTTTTGTTTATCGTCTTCACTCACACCATACTTTATCAGTACAACATGTTCGTTATGCTCTCGAACTAATTGTCACAAAGCATCAATCTCTTCGAACATCACTTCATTTTGACATCCAAAAGAATCTACTTACACAACGAGTTATTACACATGAAGATAAAAACAATAATAATATGTTTTCATTCATCGAAACTACTTATGCAACAGATAAACAACTCAATATGATTTTATACGATGAGATGCGTAACCCTCATCTTTTTGATCTTGCTCAAGGTCTTGTCTTTCGATGTCATATTATTTACTACAAACAAATCTCTTCAAATCATCTTCTTTCTCACAGAGATATACTTATTTTCAATTTTCATCATGCTCTATTTGATTTTCCATCAATGAAAGTGTTTCTTCATGATCTCAATCAAGCATATACAACAAGTCAATTATTATATGACGACAACAATAATCTTCGTTATCTCGATTGTAAATACGAAGATTTCTTTAGCGTATTATATTTTCCAATACAGTATTTTCTTTAACTTTACATTAGATGCTGTTATTGAACAACAAATGTCAATGACCGGTGCAAGCATGTTTTGGCTTGATGCTCTTCATGACTGTAAACTAGATCAACCATTGTCATTACCCTTTGATCGATATCGTCTCTCAAATGAACATCGAACTGGTCGTGAGATATCTATTTCCTTTAGTTTTGGTCAAGATCTCTCTCATGACTTTCTCATCCATGCATCATCAAACAACATATCACTTGAATATCTCACATTTGCTATTTATTTCATCTTTCTATTTAAACTAACTCATGGACAAACAGATCTATGTATTGCTATGAACATCAATAATAATCGATATAGGGATGAACTCAAATCAATCATTGGATTGTTTGAGAATATCATTCCATTACGATGCCAATTAGATCCTCACTGGTGTTTTGATCAATTGCTCGAACATGTTCAAGAGATAACAATAAATAGTATGAAATATTCATATTTTCCTGTTCAACGTATTCTCAATCAACATCCACATATCTCAAAACATGCGTTTTTGGATACATCTCTTGAGTTTATATCATACAAAAGCAACAATGACAGCAATGCAATGATGATTGGTGATGCTCAACTTGCTCCAGAATCTTTCTCTTTCAATATGAATGAAGATGAAAGACTAAGTGCGTCCGACTTTTCTCTTTCTATTTGTCATGATTTGAACATAAATCAACTATCATGCACAATCAATGTATCACTTGACTTGTTCAATCGAGAGACAGCGGAGAATATTTCACAACGATTTCATTCCATCTTACATCAATTATCTACATATATTATCGATAGTCAAATAAACAAACCGATCTATGAATTGTCAATAATATTATCAAATGAACAATATCTAATGCAATCATTGAATAATACACAAATATCATTTTCATCTTCTCCTTTCATTTGCATTCATCATGAGTTTGTGTATCAAGTAATGAAACATCCACAAAAACTAGCTGTTGAACTAGATGAACAATCTCTAACATATTGTGAACTTCTATATTATGTTCAAGTAGTATCTTTAACTCTTCTTAATGAATATCATGTTTTTCCAGGTGAGATCGTATGCCAGTGTGTTGAGCGAAGTTTGACAATGGTAAGTTGATTAAGATGAGTAACAATTAATGTGAGTTTGAGATTGATTTGGATTAGGTGATTGGTATGATGGGAATTGAAATGGCCGGTGGTGTTTATTGTCCATTATCACCTCGAGATCCACAACATCGTTTACATGCACTCACACAACAAACACGAAGTCGTCTTGTTTTTGTTCATCATTTAACTAAGGCCAAATTCGATGACAATATTATTTCACTTGATATTGATTCAATATTAATTATTAATGATATGGATAAAAAAGACCTTTCAAGTGTGATACTCAAAGACGAAGAGATAGCGTACATTATTTTTACAAGTGGCTCAACTGGAACACCTAAAGCGGTTCGTTGTCACTTAATTTTCAGGCTGTATTTGATTTTTATGTTTTTTTTATAGGTTCAAGTTCGACATAAGAACTTTATTGATTGTATTAATTCTTTGACTTATATTAACTCATTCAATAAAGATGATACAGTTGTGCAAATGACACGATGTTCATTTGATATTCATGTTCAAGAAATACTTGGTACACTGTTAGTTGGAGGCACATTGATTATGCTTCATCCAGGTGGAACGATTGATTTCGATTATTTATCTGAAGTTTTACAAAATAAACAAATCACATATCTACATACTGTTCCAAGTTTTCTACATAGTTTTTTCATTTTTATCGTTCAGAACAAGAACATAAATGCCGTGAAACATCTTCGTTCACTTTGTAGTATTGGTAAGTGATCAAAAACGACTCTTGTCCTTTCTTCACATTACGTTTCCGCTATTGTAGGTGAAGCTTTTGTTGTTCATTTGATCGAATTGATCGTCAAAATTGGCATAACCAACTGTATTGTGTGGAATTTGTACGGTCCAGCTGAAACAACTATAGTTTCTACCTTCTATAGAGTAGACCTAATGGGGAATACACGAAGCGTTTCAGTTGGGACATCACTTTCTAATTACCGATGTATAATTATGAATGAATATTCAGAACTATCAATTACAAATCAAGAAGGTGAACTGTGTGTAGGAGGAGCAGGTGTGTTTGCTGGTTATCTTGGTTGTGATGATTTGTCAGCGAAAGCTCTTCTTCAAATAGATGGCCAACTATTTTATCGAACAGGTGATCTTGTTACTATGGACAGCGATGGTCTTCTGCATTATCAAGGAAGAAAAGACCATCAAATCAAGCTTCATGGACAAAGAATTGAACTTGGTGAAATCGAACGATGCTTACTTAACATTACATCTATCTCTGCTTGTGTTGTTATGAAATGGAATAATGATCATCTAGTTGCTTATGTTCAATCTTCTTCTCATATGAATGAAGAACAACTACGTGAACATTGTCAATCTCATCTTCCGCCACATATGATTCCATCTTTTTTTATTATTCTTGATAAATTACCTTTGAATCAAAATGGAAAAGTAGATCGAAAGCAACTTCCTTCACCTCACTTCTCATCTAAACATCTCACAAACAATATAGAACTAGTACTACCAACAAATGATATTGAAATTAGTATTCATCGTATTTGGTGTGAGATATTTAAACAAAATCAAATTTCAATTGATACAAATGTGTTCACTATTGGTGGTCATTCATTACTTATCATGCAACTTTTCCATCGATACAAAATCGAATTTCATTTAGAAGCCAATACTCTTTCTATCTCCAATCTATTTCAACATCCAACAATTATTCATCATGCTCAACTCATTCAACAATTTATCAATACCATCCATACCCTCGATGATTATCCTTGGTCTTCCTTACATATCGTTCGAGCTAGAGCATCATTTGCGCAAGAACGAATCTATTTAGATGAACAAATTCGGTTTTCATCCAACAAAGCCACCATGAAGAATATGTATGTTATTCCATTACTTTATCGGATATCATCTATGAATGAGCATATATCAATTACTCGATTACATCATGCATTTCAAAGTGTTATTACAAAACATAATATTCTTCGAACAGCACTTTATATCGACGATACCAATAATAATATCACACAACAGTGTTTAGATGCAAATATCATTCTGGATGGTGACATAAAATCATATGGATTCACAATCGTTAATATCCATAATGATGATCATCGTCATATGAATGAAAGTATAGAAGAAATATTAAATCAAGCTGATTTATTTGATTTATCAAAAGGACATGTTATTCGCTTTCATATTCTTCGTCATTATCATCAATCTCAAGATAATAGTTCGCGTGAGAGCGATGATCTGCTGACTGAAAATGATCACATAATGATTAGTATTCATCATGCAATGTTTGATGGAGCATCAACATCAATCTTCCTTCGTGATCTTTCTCTTGCTTATCAATCTCATGACTCATTATCTATGGATGAAAATGCATTAAATTATATAAATTATTCTGTTCATGAACATGTCATGGATATGTCATTATCTCGTGAGTTCTGGCATTCTCAACTTGAAGAATATAATATCGAATGTTCATTATCACTACCAGTTGATCGACAACGTTCATCAACTAATCAACAACGATCAGGCTTAGCATCCACAGCTGAGATCACTTTTGATAATGAACTATGCACATCATTTCTAAACTATGCATCATCACATCATCTCACACTTTTTCAACTTGGATTATCCATATTTTATGTCTTCCTATTCAAACTAACTCATGGTGAGACTGATTTATGTATTTCTTCTATCAATGCTAATCGATATCGAAGTGAATTAGTGAAAATGATAGGAATGTTTGTTTCGACATTGCCATATCGTTTAGAAATTGATTGTCATTGGTCATTTGATGAAGTAGTTAAACATGTACGAGAAAAATGCTTATCAATTCTTGAACATTCTCATTATCCACTACAACATATTCTTGGTGATAATCGATCAAGTCAATCGAATGTGTCATTTCTTGAGACAATGTTTGATTTTATCACTAGAGCAGAAGATGTTAGTCGATTACGTTTGAATGGTGTCAATCTGGAGCAAGTGTCGTTAAACGAATCATATGAAATGGCTAAATTTGACTTCTCATTAACATTTGTATACAATTCATCTTCAGATGATAATCAGTTGTCTTTTTCTTTTGTTTGTTCACATGATTTGTTTCAAAGCTCAACTATTTCACAAATGGCTCGAAGATTTCAATGCATGTTTGAACAACTGTTTCAAACACAATCAAGCAACATTCCTGTGATGAATGTGAGTTCATCGATTAACAAAGTGTGTCTTATTCTTCCTGAAGAAACTGAAGAAACGGAACTAGTCGTGTTTCATCGATTGAAGAGTATTGTGAATGAAGGTATGATTATTTAGTTTTTCTTTGCTTCTACAAGGAAAAATAAAGATATTTATATGCTTTTTTGACATTACCACAGAAACTAACGAAGTCATGCATTTGATTATAAACATCAAGATTTTGTTAGAACAGTTCTGGGTTTTAAAAGTTCATGGTTGTAAATTTACAATATGACAGATATTGTATCGATTACATGAGCGATTGTTATTGTTAAACTAATAGTAATAATAATAAGAGATATCGTATAATATCGACTTCGAAGCTGTTTGTAAAATGGAAATTTCAAATGAATGTTGGAATAGTATAGTCGCTGTATCCTGTTTTTGAAACAGTATACACATCTTTTAAATGAGGTAGATCTTTGTAGATAATGGGTTTTGCTGTTCAGTTAGATAAGTATTTCTTGAAATAAGAAGATTAGTTGAAAGTATGGCGAAAAATAACGTCTTTTTTATGTTAGAACATCAAATTCTATCTTTCTATTCGATATTAGTTGTATTCTTCATCTCCTCACAATCAAGTAGTTTCATAGTTAAATAAAAACTTTAAAAACAATCTAGCACAGAAAAACAATATAATATTTTTGATAAAGGCACTATATGGTGAAATCAACTGAAACAAGCTTTTTGCACATAGCTGTGATTTTTCCTGTTTCTAACAAACTTTGACATTTCTAGTTTATTTCGAGTAAACATGCAAATTCACAACATCACTCTAACAGTTCAACGCTGTTCTTCGAAGTTTGCAGCTTTATTTTTAGTTGATTCTTACAAATCGGATTTTTTAACCAGTGGTTACTACAGAGAATATACTGTTAAATGAAAAGATAGGATTGGAACGATTTTAGTTCGTTTTGAATATTTTTTTATTTAAAAGAAGTAATGTAAAAGAATACATGCACACACACAGAGATAGATACACTAGAGAGAGATATACCGTGTATCACAGCACATATTTATTTCACTTTAATACAAATAAAGTTAGCCGAGAAGAGAGGAAAGAAGTCAAAGTCCGTGATGTGATAGCCAGTGATTGGACGAGTACAAGTGTAAATACTGTGTACTTCATGAATTTACTTAGTACTGAAACATATACATAATGATTGTATTATATTGTACTGAGTACTAGTACTAAGTACAACTGTACTACAGTAAATTGTGCCGAGTACTGGTACTACAGTGCAGATGTACTAAGTACCGGTACTCAATACATCTGTCCTTAATACTTTGCAATAATACTATATTTTGCTTCTATAGTGATTCTGTCTGGTCATATTTAAAAACGTCATACTTCAGTGACATTTGTAGGAATAACGAAAATTGTATGTAGTATCAATATAGTTGTAATATAGTATAGATCAACGTTAGATAATTCAAATCATGTCGAGTAATTATCTGTGTTCATAAATAAAAAAATAATCATAATTAGGCTAAGTAAAAGGTTTATTGACGGGACACAACAGTGTGTATCCATTTCTAGAGTATTATATTAAGACGTATCATCAATAGCTTATATTCAAAATTTAATTCATTTGTACATATAGCGTTGTTTCGTTCGAATTAATCCCAGAAATGACTACTGAACAATTGAAAATACATTCCGATTTTTCTGAAATTGATAATAATCAAATCAATGGATATTAAAATTTATATCGCCCGAATCATAACGGCAGAACGAAGATCTTTAGTAATTTTACGAAACAACAAAATAATATTATGTATAGTTATTCTGGCATGCGTTAAAAATAATATACGCCTCTCTCATTCGTGGTTTAGTTGGAAAGAACAATTTTTCTTCAACAAATTTCTAATTATTACTAATACCTAGAAGTTAGAAAGACTCCTGAAATGTATGACTAACATACAACATATGGGCAAAATCATTTCTTAGCGACGTGACTTCGTAAAATTGCAACATATAGATCTCGGCCTAACGAACTTTCTTAAAGTTGATTTTTATATATTATATGTATGTTGGTCCACCCTAGATACTCAGAAAAAATCAGGTCTAAAAACGCTGGTTTACAGGAGTTATTGATGAAACAGTAAGCGTTAGCGACGTGACGTAAAAAGAACATCAACTTTCACTTCATGTACTTCAATTGTAAATTTCAGCGAATCTTGACGTTATCTTTCGAAACTAAATAGTACATTTTGTAGACGACTGTTAACACCACAAAATAGCTATACAACGCTTTTTCTAATTACGCTTAGATTTTACAATAATAAGCGCTCATTTGGCGTTAGCGACGTGACAGAGTACGACTGTGCGAAGAAAAATTTACTCGTATAACTAAACACAAAGTTACAAATTAGTTTCAAAAAAGTGTAGATCTATCTTTAGAATCGAGAGAATATACTGACATAAAAATTTCTGTTTTAAAGACTCATGCGAACTATAGGGGGCCATTTTTTAAGAAGGAAATTTTATGAAACCGATTTGGCTGAAAATTTTACCATATGTGCAGCCTATATTGAATAGTCATCCCTGAAAGTTTGAGATGTTTTTATCATACGGTTAGCGAGATATTCACTAATTACTGCTTCATTAATTAACTAATTAACTAATTAATTTCAATTAATAGTCAGTAGAAAGAGCATACATTTTTACCTATGTCTATGCTAAAATAAACTTTCTAATTAAAATGCTCTTTTATAGAATTCAGAAGGAATGAGAGAGGCCAATGTCCTGTTTTGCGTGATTTTGCTCATATATGAAAACATTCACAGAAGAAGTTTATTAAATTATACAGGATCTTATCAAGTATCTACTAAATATGTACTTTGTACAGGTACAAAGTACATATGCACTAAAGTATTAGTACTTAGTACGACTATACTAAAGTAAAAAGTACGAAAGCCCTAATATTAAATAAACTAGTCTAGTACATAGTGTATGTACTTGTACTACATAAATGTACTGAGTACTGTAGATTGTTAAG